TGGACCCACAGGGCCAGTGGGCCGCTCGCTTCTCCACACACCAAATGTCCTGGGCTGCAGCCCAGAAAGACACACTGCACTACGGCCTGTATGTCGGGGAACACTTCACCCAGGGCATTGATGAGCCTCTGTTACAGGGAATTTAACTCCTGAGATTTATATTTTCAACAGTGTAATTCTGTACTGTGCAACCAAAAAATCAAGTATATGGATCGTAGTTAATACGAATACAAATCAAATACTCTACAGTTGAAGGTGCTCTGACAGACAGTCGTTGTGCCATTGATTAAAACTGTCTACACACCTTAGCATATGTATAATCCAACTCCATAATCAAATCACCTCCAATAGAAATCTACAAAGTACACTATATACAATACATTGTTGGCCAGACGTGGCCACTGAACAGGTCAAGGGGGTCTGGTAGTGTAGTTCCTATACTTTGTCCCTAAAGCGGCAAAAAAATAATTTGTCGTTTTTTTAATCTTGTTTGAAGAAGTACACCTGACAAACATATTTCTGGTGAATATTAACATGAAGACAATTCGTTCTAACAAATTCAGTCAAATGTACAAAAATGGAAATTCCTTAAAACAAAAGTTATTTTTTGAGCTTGAAAGCAGAATGCGTGGCACAGTAGCCTTAAATAAATGAAATGTTCACATCGTAGGGTTCTCAGCCCCATTCCATGGCCCTGTGGCCATCCGTGATCCATGACTTAATGTTTTTATTGGTTGATTGAATCTATAGTGGTAATCCTAAATACATTCTGTAGCTGTTTCAACCACAATTGTTGCACACTTCCCTCTATCTGTCTATCGAGACTGACTGCTGAATGTATCCTCTTTTGTCTGACTGCATTTATAAACCAGTTCTGACCTGATCTGTTCAGAGTGAAGTGTTAGTATTGTGTTGTAGTTTCTTTGTTATGATTCAATGGAAAATTGATTTTACATGACACTGTTCTATACAGCAGATAATTTCTTTAATCAACAATCTAATAGTTGATCAACAGAAAAAACAATCAACAGCTGTTTTTGAAAAAAGCTGCTGATCTGAACCTCGTCACAGAGAATCCTTGTGACGTTTTGTAGCAGCGTTGTACTGTACAATCAAACACTTCCATCACTCAGAGCCTGGCCTAGTATTTGTGAAGTGCTGCTGATCAGATGATGCTTGTTAATGCTGAAGCTCTGTGTTAGGAAAACACTGATGAGGACAATAAATGCCTTTGATCCCTGGACAGTGTGTGTTTCATGCTTCATTTCCCCATAAAGTCTGTGTGTGGAGGCGCGCTCATGTGTTAAGCCCTGGCAGCATGTGTTCCATTCACTAGATGGTGCTGTTTGAATACAAATCAACCCTTAAAAAACCTCAACGCACACATGTGTGAACTGTACAATGAGGTGATTCTCTGTTAAACTTTGACATTTTGTTTTGTAGTGAAACAGACAAACTATCTAGATGCCTATCAGGTTTCTATAAGTGGTGGTTCTGTCCTTTATAACAAATCCTTGCAGGTTCACGAGGGCGACAGACACAAACATTGTTCTGTAAAAGTGGACCTGAGACATCAGCTGCACATGTTCATATTGTTGAATTATGAACTTCAGCAACATGCAGCTGTTAGAAAATGAATCAATACATTAAACTGTACCTGCTGTGCTCGCATTACTGCTGACAGAAAGCATGATGTTTCTCTGCTACCTAATGCAAACAGAATTATGAAACACATTTGCACTAAACTTCTTTAACTTCTCTCTCTGTGCCTCTGAATTATACAGGGTCAGTTTCTGTCCTGACTGCACCAGTGTACTTCCATGCAGATTTTTCTGTTAGATCAGGTGTTGACATGTCTATAACAGATTTTTGTTACTATGAAACAACAAGTACTGGAAATGAAGGAAAAAGGCTTTTCCAAAACACCACAGCAACCTGTATTGCCATGAAATCATGTTGTTCTTTGACATGTGTAGGATGTCAAACTGGTCCTCCAAAAGGGACACTTGGTAACTAAATGCTGTTCCAACTCATTGAAGGCGTATTTCTTTTTATATTTTCCACAAAGTACTCACAAGTTTTTGCCTCTCAGTTTGCGTTTGGTCTTTTCTTCAGATGTGGTTACCAGTGTGCATGTGTGTGTACTCCCATCATTAAAGTGCAGGAACTGGTCTGACAAATGTCCAGCTGATAGAAATCCCTGATTGGGGGTCTTACATTGTGAATGTGTGGGGGTTACAGGATGAGGCTCAGGGTACAGGACTTCTCTGACTGGTCAAGTATTCTAGCATTTTCCGCAGCACTGTTATACACATAACATTTTCACACATTTCATTGGAAACTTCAGATGGTCCTTTGATACGTCAGCTGAATTCTTTTTATAATCTTTATTAAAGAAAACACAAATGACTATTCTCTAGAGGAGCTTGTATCTCTGAAAATTTCTTGGACATTAGTTCTTGAGAAATTACATTTCCTGGACCTTTTTCATGTTTTGAAAGCTCTGAGTCAGTTTACATTTTAAATCTGGATTCCAAAGCAGACTCCTCTGGTGAAATTTGAGTTTTTCACCTTGTCAACATGTCCTTAAAGCATTTTTTACAAGTCAGAAGACACATTTTGAGCAAAAAAAAAAAGTCCTCATCAGGGCTGAGCATTTTCACCTTCAAACTGCAGTTTACTGACGACAGTCTCATAAACACACATTCAGACTTTCACAGTTTCATACATTAAAAAATTATAGAACCAAAACTTGCAGGTTGGATTTTCTAAATCATTCTTCTTCTTCTTCAGAATCTGTTTCTGGTTCAAACATGTACGGTCGAATTACAACGTTACAACTTGCTGTTGTGTAACACAGCTTAGTTTTACAGTTTGAGCAAAGTTTCTGGTGAGCTGGTGTGCTGAGGTGCAGTGAGTAGGAAGGAGTTAGCTGAGTGAGAAGCAGGGACAACGTAGAGCTGCACATTCATGAGCCAGCAACGGTGTAGAGTTACATCTCAGCCCTTTTATTGCAGAAAGGGAACACTTTCATGGGAAAAATGTTTCACTGCATAACCTCGAGACACAGATGAGATTTCAGGGGTTTAATCAATGACTGGAGGGAAACTTCTACAAGAATAGGTCACTTGGAAGAATCTTGCAGAAAGACTGAACATCTGATGTCCTGGATCAATCTTATTTGGCACCAAAGGACCTGACCCAAAGGCCACTGGGTGTCTTGCTTCTCTACCTTCCATATGACTTGCAGCTCAGAGAATCATCCCACACTTTCAGACAGAGCACTGATGAGCCTCAGTGACAATCAGACTGCTCCATAGAAAGCTGTGCTTTGTCGTCTACTCTCTGCCACTTCTAACAGATCAGTGAAATCTGACCTGCGCCTCCTCACCTCTCTGCTTTGCCATGTTTGCATTTTCATGTATATGAAACACACATTTGCTTAGACGTGCAAACCCAATGTCTACACTATGTATAGAAACGGTCCTGCTTGTGGAACATCTTCCCTTCTGAGAAGAAATACATTTCACAGTTGAAAGATTTCGCTCCTCTGTCTAAAAAAGAAATAGTGATGTCCCACTGCTGCATGATTACTAATGCAGATAAAGACAATAAATACCTTTATCCCTGTGCATTGCATGTTGCTGCCTGACTTGCCCATGAAGCCTGTGTGTTGAAGTGCACTGATGTGTGACCTCAAGCTTTGACTGTATACATTAACCCAGCAGACTGACTAGAGGGCACTGTTTCAGTAAATATTAACATACCCAAAACACTAGTGTTCTGTGACCTTGTTGGACAGATTTTCTTGTGTTCTCAAATTTGCATCCATTTTGTTAATCTTTTAAGAGCTATGTAAAGAAGGGTGCATACATGTGGTTATTTCTTTAACACTATCAAACGGCAAAAATCGCATCTAATACCATTAGGAAGTATCAGGTGGCTGGAGGGATCCAGACAGAGCTCAACTTCAAGGAAATGTCCCTGCCTGGTTTAACGTTCACAATGTCTAGGAGCAAAGTGAACATAAAAAATGAAATGGTCATCGAAAATGTCTAAGTTTTACGCATTCTGTCGATGGTTGAAAGGAAATTAATAACATAAACTGGGCAAAAGTACTCCAAGCAATTGCTTACACAAAAGAATGTGAACTAAGATTGAGATTGTATGTAAATATCAAGCTGAAGAGCTAAAGAATGAAGCCAACAGATGTGCCAAAAAATGACGTTCCTCAAATGTCCACTTGAGGCTGACCATCCATCCATCCANCATAGTGACATTGTGCACCAAAAGGTACTTTTTCACTGCAAAAGCCTAACCCAGGACACATTAACTTTTTAAAGAATTAAGTCTGTGGTTTCACTGGTGGAATCAGAGTCTTTGCATGGTGTTACACTGAGCATTTTGTAGTTTGTGGCTGACAGTAATCAGAATTGAGCAGTCCAAGACATTTTACAGGCAGTGAACCAACTACAAAGTCCAGGCTGTGATAGAGAACAACATTCAGAGGGTATTTGAGATCGTTGTGCTTTTGATTTATTGTGCTTTTTGATTAATTTGCTTAATCTTCTTGGGGCTTTAGCGCTGCTGTGGAAACACTCACAATGTGCTGGAGGAACTTTTACCTCGGGGACCGTTCCTGGACATTAGTTCTTGGGAAATTAAAGTTCCTGGAACTTTTGGTGGAAAAGCACCAGCACTGAGCACACAAACTAACGGTGGTAAAGTGGATTATGCAACAGAAGTACACTCAAAACTTCTGTAGATGTTTGTCAGCTTTTTCCTCTCTGACTCTGTTCCATCATTGGAATTCATTGTTACTGCTGTGAGTCTCAGCTGCACGCTCTGCAGAAAAACAAGCGATAGACGCTACACGACCACTTTTTTAGTCTTCAGGATGTGACCTAGTGCTGTAAAGGATTTTCTTGGTTCAGTGTTCCTCATATGAAACTGGTCATTTAGTGTTCTTTAGAATAAAATCTGACTGTCTTTTCGTGCAGGGGGAAGATGGGCACAGTCGGAGCAGTGGCAGTCGATAGTGAGGGCAACGTAGCTTGTGCGACTTCCACCGGTGGAATGTTAAACAAGATGGAAGGACGGGTCGGCGACACTCCCTGCATAGGTCAGTCCTCACATCTGTGGTCTGGAATCATATACAGTCAAGCCCAAATGTATTCATACCCATGCCACATTTAGATTTATGGTGAATATTAACAACTTGACCACTGCTTTTCTTATGACTGGAAATGACATAAACAAGTGACAAAAGATGGTAAGACACTGTGTTAGAGTTTTTTGTAAAACTTTTTCACTAAAAAAACAAAGTCCTATATTATTCAGATCCCTTGAAATTAGTTATTGAGAAAATGCAGCGTCTATACTATTCCAAATGATTCTGCCATGCTCTAGTTCTACCACACTATCAACTGAAAACAGATGAAGCAGTTGCTCTCAACAACTAGTCAACTGCAAGTTATATCGAAAACTGAAGCAAAAGAAAATCTAAATCAAAGAGTACCATGACTTCCATCCATCATCTATACACCACTTAACCCTCACCAGGGTCGCAGGAGTCTATCCCAGCTGACTCAGGGCGAAGGCAGGGGACGCCCTGGACAGGTCGCCAGTCTATCACAGGGCTACACTTAGAGACAGACAACCAAGGACACTCACATTGACACCTACGGACAATTTAGACTCACCAATTAACCTCAACATGTTTTTGGACTGGGGGTGTAAGCCGGAGAACCCACACTGCACGAGGAGAACATGCCAACTCCACGCAGAAAGATCCCAGGTGTCCTCACCAGGACGTGAACGTTCTTGCTGCGTGGCAATGATTCTAACCGCCGCTCCACCTTGCAGCCCACAAGGACTTCTATGCTATGAAAACTTTCAAAGGGCGCGGTAAGAAGCCAAAAGTGACCCCTACACTGTCAAGCATTAGTCTTGCGAGAGGCCAAGAAGAATCCAAGCATCACCACCAAACCATCCTGATGAATCTGAGCAGTTTTGACACAAACATCTCAGTCAGACACTTGAGCAGCCACTGAACTGGTCTCCAACAACAACCAAAGATCCGCCGTCTTAAAGACAGGCTCACCAAAACTTGTCTAGCTTTTGCAGCAGTTAGCGAAGTTGAAAGCAAACATGGATTTGATTAGAGACACAGGAGCATGATTTTTGTTTGGTGAAAGAAAGAGAGCAGCATTCAACCCCGTGAACCCCCCATGATCAAGCGTGGTAGGAATTAAATGCTGTTGAGGAGTTTTTCAGCCAAGAGGCCAGGCATCTTTGTCAAACCACGAGAAAAGACAATGACATGAAGAGTTGGAGGAAAACATCAGGCAGTCTGCAGAGGAAACTGAAGACCAGAGTGATAGTAAGGAAGCCTTAAACCTCTAAGACCTGGAGATCATCAGATAGGAGTGAAACAAAATCCCAGTGGAGGCCCTGCTCTTGATTAATAAGAAAAAGTACAAATAATTTTTGACATGGCTTTGTTGGAAAAAAGAAAGTTTGTCATTTGCATCTATAACTCAACGTCTTATCATCTTTTGTCACTTGTTTTTTTTTTGTCATTTTCTTCCACAGTAAAACCTGCTGGTCACTAAGTCTTCACTGTAAATCTAGATTTGGCTGTTCCTGTCTTCCCAGTGTGTTAACCTTTGACCTGAAGAAGTTTTATGTATATGGTCAGTAAGCGGAGCGCACATGGTTAATGTTTGACTGTGAGCTCTGTACTTTCCAACACAAACTCGCATTGTGTCGACTCGTGTGAGATGATGTGTGTTTTGATCCTTTATGAAGAAAAAAAATACAACACATATTTGTTCTGAGTCTTGTCATGACGGCTTCCAATTGACGTCAAGTGTGATACTGAGCAATTCATATTCATTCTGTCAGAGGTAGACAGCACTGACTGGCTGATACTAATGACCTAATGCTGCATGAGTAATATGCCAGAACCCCAACTGTAATTTCAGAAAATAAGTGTACACTGATGTGACAGTGGCTAAATCATACTCCAGTTTAGTAAACAGCAGCAAATGGATTTTGGCCTGCGTGTCCAGGCCTGTCTAATCTGTCACTATCAGTAAATGACTGATTACACTGTCATGACTCAGTGGGCAGATTTCAGCCTCACTTTATGAATCAGACATCTGAATTAAACAACAAAGGTAATAAAAAGTTGGGAAATTCGATTTATGTTGAGGAATTGTCATTAAAGATACAAACTCATAGAGCATCGAAACAAACATTTTAGAGCAGCTGCTGTGTCTCTGGAACTGGAATCTTACTAATAATACATTCCTTTTTTTTTAATGAACCTCTTCTGTCTAATGTATTATTCTTCTATAATGATGGTGACTTTGGAAGCCAACATTTTCACGCTCTCACAAGACAGCCAAGATCAGGGCAATGCAGTGTCAGTGTGTGCCTCATGTTGTTAGTGCCTAGTGTGTTAGCGAAAGCATTACTCTCCCATCTAGTGAAATAGATGTGTAATTGCATCCATGTACGCAGGTATGAGAATGGCCCTGCCCTAATCATCGCACCTATGGTGCGAGGATGGAGATTAGGATGAGGCCAGTAACACATTGACTTCTATGACCTCTCATACTACCCTGGTCCAGGACAGTTTCAGCATTTCATGTAGATGGAAGTAAAATCAATGATGGCTGCAGAACAACAAAGTTAAATTTTAAACCATGACTCTAACTGATAACTTTAGTCTGTGTCAGCTGGATGTGTAAATAGGCACCAGATTGCCGCTGAGTATAGTTTGTGCGACGCTCATGTGATGTTTTGCCCGTGACAGGAAGTGGAGGTTATGCTGATAACCAGTCGGGAGCTGTGTCAACTACAGGCCACGGAGAAGCCATCATGAAAGTCACACTGGCCAGACTCATCCTGTTCCACATGGAGCAAGGTAACACACACACACACACTCACACACACACACACACACACACGTTGAGATGTGTAGTTAGTGTTGGATTTCCTTTTACAGAAAGACAAAAAAAAAAAACGACCTCAGCCCTTCTGCACCGAACAAAGTGTTAATTGAAGTTTAAAGCACAGATGAACTGTTTGACTCATGCTATCAAAGAATATATTTACACATGTGGACAAAATTGTTGGTACCCCTCGGTTAATGAAAGAAAAACCCACAACGGTCACAGAAATAACTTGAATCTGACAAAAGTAAAAAAAATAAAAATTCTATGAAAATTAACCAATGAAAATCAGACATTGCTTTTAAAACGTGGTTTAACAGAATTATTTTAAAAAATAAACTCATGAAACAGGCCTGAACAAAAACTTTCATTGCTTCATTTTCATTGAATTTTTATTTATTATTACTTTTGTCAGATTCAAGTTATTTCTGTGATCTTTGTGGGTTTTTCTTTCATTAACCGAGGGGTACCAACAATTTTGTCCACGTGTGTATACTTATGGCATGTTCCCTGTTCCCAGGTCAGTCAGCGGAGGCTGCCAGTGATTTGGGCCTGGCCTACATGAAGTCCAGAGTATCGGCGCTGGGTGGGGTGGTGACAGTGGACCCACAGGGCCAGTGGGCCGCTCGCTTCTCCAGCCACCAAATGTCCTGGGCTGCAGCCCAGAAAGACACGCTGCACTACGGCCTGTACGTCGGGGAACACTTCACCCAGGGCATTGATGAGCCTCTGTTACAGGGAATTTAACTCCTGAGCTTTCTATTTTCAGCAGTGTAATTCTGTACTGTGCAACCAAAAAAATCAAGTATATGGATCGTAGTTAATACTAATACAAATCAAATACTCTACAGTTGAAGGTGCTCTGACTGACAGTCATTGTGCCATTGATTAAAACTGTCTACACACCTTAGCATATGGATAATCCAACTCCATAATCAAATCACCTGCCATAGAAATCTACAAAGTACACTTTGAAGTTTTTGTATTGCAAATACATTGTTGGCCAGACGTGGCCACTGAACAGGTCAAGGAGGTCTGGTACAGTGTAGTTCCTATACTTTGTCCCTAAAGCGGCAAAAGGTGCTTTTGTTGTTTTTTTTTTATCTTGTTTGAACAAGTACACCTGACAAACATATTTCTGGTGAATATCAACATTAAGACAATTCAGTCAAATGTACAAAACTGTAAATTCCTTAAAACAAAGCTTGAGACCAGAATGCATGGCACAATAGTCTTACACACGTGGACAAAATTGTTGGTACCTCTCGATTATTGAAAGAAAAACCGACAACGGTCACAGAAATAACTAGAATCTGATAAAAGTAATAATAGATAAAAATTCTATGAAAATTGAACAATGAAAATCAGACATTGCTTTTGAACCGTGGTTCAACAGAATTATTTTGGAAAATAAACTCATGAAATGGGCCTGGACAAAAATGATGGTAACCCTTGAAAAGACTGAAAATAATGTGACCAAAGGGACATGTTCAATCAAGGTGTGTCCTCTAATTAGCATCACAGGTGTCTGCAAACTTGTAATCAGTCAGTCGGCCTATTTATAGGGTTACAAGTAGTCACTGTGCTGTTTGGTGACATGGTGTGTACCACACTAAACATGGACCAGAGGAGAGAGTTGTCTCAGGAGATTAGAAAGAAAATGATAGACCATCATGTTAAAGGTAAAGGCTATAAGAGCATCTCCAAACAGCTGGATGTTCCTGTGACCACAGCTGCACATATTATTCAGAAATTTAAGATCCATGGGACTGTAGCCAACCTCCCTGGACGTGGCCGCAGGAGGAAAACTGATGACAAATCCAAGAGACGTATAATATGAATGGTAACAAAAGAGCCCAAAACAACGTCTAAAGACATTCAAGGTGAACTCCAAGGTCAAGGTACATCAGTGTCAGATCGCACCATCTGTCTTTGTTTGAGCCAAAGTGGACTTCATGGGAGACGACCAAGGAGGACACCATAGTTGAAAACAAATGTTAAAAAAGCCAGACTGGAATTTACCAAACTGCATGTTGACAAACCACAAAGCTTCTGGGAGAATGTCCTCTGGACAGACGAGACAAAACTGGAACTTTTTGGCAGTTACAGAAATTTGATTGCAGTGATTGCCTCAAAAGGTTGTGCAGCAAAATATTAAGTTAAGGGTGCCATCATTTTAGTCCAGGCCTGTTTCATGAGTTTATGTTTTAAAATAATTCTGTTAAACCACAGTTCAAAAGCAATGTCTGATTTTCATTGGTTAATTTTCATAGAATTTTTATTTATTACTTTTGTCAGATTCAAGCTATTTTTGTGACCATTGTGGGTTTTTCTTTCATTAACCGAGGGGTACCAACAATTTTGTCCACGTGTTAAATAAATGAAATGNGCCCAGAAAGACACGCTGCACTACGGCCTGTACGTCGGGGAACACTTCACCCAGGGCATTGATGAGCCTCTGTTACAGGGAATTTAACTCCTGAGATTTATATTTTCAACAGTGTAATTCTGTACTGTGCAACCAAAAAATCAAGTATATGGATCGTAGTTAATACTAATCAAATCAAATACTCTACAGTTGAAGGTGCTCTGACAGACAGTCGTTGTGCCATTGATTAAAACTTAGCACTTAGCAACCTTAGCATATGGATAATCCAACTCCATAATCAAATCACCTGCCATAGAAATCTACAAAGTACACTATATACAATACATTGTTGGCCAGACGTGGCCACTGAACAGGTCAAGGGGGTCTGGCACCATGTAGTTCCAATAATATTTGTCCCTAAAGCGGCAAAAGGTGCTTTTGTAGTTTTTTTTATCTTGTTTGAACAAGTACACCTGACAAACATATTTCTAGTGAATATCAACATTAAGACAATTTGTTCTAACAACTTCAGTCAAATGTACAAAAATGGAAATTCCATAAAACAAAAGTTATTTTTTGAGCTTGAAACCAGAATGCGTGGAACAATAGTCTTACACACATGGACAAAATTGTTGGTACCCCTCGATTATTGAAAGAAAAACTGACAACAGTCACAGAAATAACTTGAATCTGACAAAAGTAAATTCTATGAAAATTCACCAATGAAAATCAGATATTGCTTTTGAACCGTGATTTAACAGAATTATTTTTAAAAATAAACTCGTGAAATAGGCCTGGACAAAAATGATGGTAACCCTTGAAAAGACTGAAAATAATGTGACCATAGGGACATGTTCAATCAAGGTGAGTCCTCTAATTAGCATCACAGGTGTCTCCAAACTTGTAATCAACCAGTCGGCCTATTTATAGGGTTACAAGTAGTCACTGTGCTGTTTGGTGACATGGCCTGTATCACACTAAACATGGACCAGAGGAGACAGTTGTCTCAGGAGATTAGAAAGAAAATTATAGTCAAGTATGTTAAAGGTAAAGGCTATAAGAGAATCTCCAAGCAGCTTGATGTTCCTGTGACCACAGCTGCACATATTATTCAGAAATTTAAGATCCATGGGACTGTAGCCAACCTCCCTGGACGTGGCCGCAGGAGGAACATTGATGACAAATCCAAGAGACGGATAATACAGATGGTAACAAAAGAGCCCAAAACAACCTCTAAAGACATTCAAGGTGAACTCCAAGGTCAAGGTACATCAGTGTCAGATCGCACCATCCGTTGTTGTTTGAGCCAAAGTGGACTTCATGGGAGACGACCAAGGAGGACACCATTGTTGAAAACAAATGATAAAAAAGCCAGACTGGAAGTTACCAAACTGCATGTTGACAAACTACAAAGCTTCTGGGAGAATGTCCTCTGGACAGACGAGACACAACTGGAACTTTTTGGCCCATCAGCTACATGTTCACAGATGCAAAAATGAAGCATATGAAGAAAAGAACACTGTCCCTACTGTGGAACATGGAGGAGTTCTGTTATGTTCTGGGACTGCTCTGCTCCATCTGGCACAGGGTATCTGAATCTGTGCAGGGTACAATGAAATCTCAAGACTATCAAGGTATTCTAGAGAGAAATGTGCTGCCCAGTGTCAGAGAGCTTGGTCTCAGTCGCAGGTCATGGGTCCTGCAACAGGAAAATGACCCAGAACACACTAAAAACACCCAAGAATGGCTGAGAGGAA